TCGTGATAATCACGAACCAAGGTCATAACCACAAAAGTAAGAAGCACGAAAGAAGTCTTGATGTTTATGTAATGAACCAGTACACTGAAGACTCACTGAATGTATACATTTAGCTAAATAAGTATGAACATTTTCATAAGCTCTTAAAAATAGCCGGGAGGGCTCCTGAAATAGATTATGCCTGCAACTAGTGGAAGAGAGCACCGCATGCACGGGATTTTGGCACTAAGCTAGGTTTTCTCTGATTTGCTGACTGTGTTTTTAATCATTCTAATAGTTTCATAAATATAAAAGTTTCTAATTAGTACCATCATTCGGCTTGCTCTAATAAATTGATATTCTTCTCTAGTCTTATTTTTGGTATTGGATTTAACAGATCTTTTGGTGATGGTCTGTGAATTCCTTTATCGATTTACTTGCATTTGCAAAATATGTTTCTGGATTTGGCGACGATTCTGGGATTTTCAAACAACTTTCGGATTTGTTTTAAATATTATTATGGATCTAAAAATTTCATTTGGATCATTTCTCTTGTTTAGACTTATGATTAATGATTATTTACCCTCAGACAGTAGTAGTGCTACACTAGTAGTAGGTAGTGTAGGTAGTATGAATGGTAGTGTGTATATACATGCGGGGAAACTGGGAACGACATCAATGCAAAAATGGCGGAAAAGGGACGAAGAACATTTCCGTGAATTAAAACCAAAGAAATGGACTCAAAGGAGGTACAGTTCAGTGTCTTTTTAGGTTAACACGATAGAAAAGAATGATTTATGTGTAACACACCAAACTGAAATAATGCATTTCGCCATCATAGCTAAGATCCGTTGTTTATCGTCCTGATCAGATCACCTTCGTCATTCGGCGACTTTACCTTCGTATTCGCGTGTTTCTTTAAAATTTCCACTAAACAGTAAAAAGTCAAGTGTTAAATATATCATAGTCTGCAAGTTGGAATAATTACCTTCAACTGCTGTTATAGAGGTTGTCTGCAGGATGGCAGGGTTCTGATACAATGTTGATGTCAGTTGCATAGCAGTAAATTTTCCTCAGTTGTAAGCGAAAGATCAACACATGGAACTATTTTGCTGTTGTAGGTTGTCATCAAAATCTGTGATCTGAACCCTCATGTGGTTTGCAGTTTATGCGCAGGATACTTTGTTGATGCCACGACTATTACAGAATGTCTGCATACCTGTATGTACAGAAATTGTCCTGTTCTTTTTACATGAGTTGTATGTCATATCTGCACTAGAACAGATCATTTTTGATATATATTGGTTAGTGACCAGGCGTGAGGTCAAGATGGCTTGATATTGGTGAAGTTCTTTTTTTTGCATGGTTATGGCTTGAGACAGAGTCGAGGTCCATAAACATGCAAAAAGAGAACAATGCCAATATCAAGCCATCTAGACCAAACAAGCTTGGTCAATAAAGGATTTATAAAAAGAACACTTTTCTTGAGACCTTTACCTTATTTCAGACCTGATCCAAAAGCATTACATTATTTTAGATCAGACTCTACCCAAGACCTGCTGTGGTTTGAATTAACAATAAGGAGGACTGAAATTTCATGCTTAGGGCTAAAAGGGCCTAAATGGTCATTCCATCTTTTTTATCCTAGTTTGCAAAAGCTGTATTGTGAAATACTTCCAAACCAGCAAGAATTGTCCCATGTGCAATCTGCAGATACATGAAACCCAACCGCTTTTCAACCTCAGGTAAATCAGTAATCCATTAAGAATCAAAATACCTAATTGTCAAAATGGTTATGAATTATTGTAGTCTCTTTTGCATTGAACATAGTAACCTCCAGCTTCAGTTACAACCCTATTAAAAATAAGTTAAATATGCAATTTTTACAATTGGTTGTCCCAGACAATATCCATACCCCTCCCATGGAGGGTTTTTTGGTTTGAACTCCCCCCTTTCCTCTGCAAATTCTAGGTTTGTTCATACTTTCCTTTAAAATGTTGGCTTTTGGCGTCCCCTTCCCCCTTGGAATTTCCAATAACACTTTTTGGGTGGGTATGAATATGCTCTGGAACTGCAAAATAATAATTTATTGATAAAGTGAAACTAACTGGAAGGAGATGCCAGGGGAACAGAGTCAGCCGGAGAGTGTTCCTGAAGAAAACGATAGACAGGTAGCGGTGGCGGCTATGGTAATGGCCCTATGCACACAAGGACAAGAGGAGGATTGAGTGAACAAGTGACACTAACTAACATTGCCATGTATGAGGTCTTCCAAGGGATAAAAGCGACAAGCAACACGACCTTGAAAACCAGTGACACGGGAATTTCTAGTCAGCAACAAGCAAATCAAATGCACCCCTAAAATTTGACAGCGACATAAGAAGCACTAGAAAAGTGGTCAATGTTGCTGCCCTTTTGGTTGTTTTGCCTATTTATATAGAGATTGTAGTCTGCAAATGTCAGAAACTTGTGTTTTTCCACTGAATAAACTCTCTAAAAAAACAATGGTGTAGTGACAGCAACATATGACTTCATGCAGAAAAACGACAGGGACATTTTGTTTCCGCTGGTTAGGCGACATCGGTACACGAAAGGATGTGGCATGCGACACAACTAACCCCCTTGGAAGGCCTTGTGTATACTTGTCAGTTGAATATTCAATGTTTGATCATTACAACACCGCACAGGTTAGACAGAACAATGCAAGACATTGTGGCTAAACTTGTTCCTGGGATTGTTGAGGGTAAGCCTGCTAATTTTGTTTGATGCTGAATGTTAGAGGTGCACAGTTATTTGAAGTTACAATGGCTAAGGACCATGATGTTGTGTCTGATCATGAAGGTGGCTCCTTACAAAGATTGTTTCTTGTTGTGGGTTATGCTTTACAGGTAAACTGAAAGGATGGAGCAATGGACTGCTTTTAACAGCAACAACAACAACAACCATTTTATTTTGCATAATACAGAGAATATCATTCAGCAAAAGAATACATCAAACTTAAATAAGCATAAAAACTACTCAAAATAGTAAAAACTAAACGAGCTTTAATTATTATGCTTTAAATCGGTTGTAAGAAAAATAAAGAAAAGAAGAGGTGGAAAGAGAAAAAATATATATAGATATAAATATAAAAAGATATATAAGTAGTAACAGTATCAGTTATAGACAGAGCATTGTTTTATGGGCCTGATTGCATTTGTTGTTGTTGTTGTTGTTGTTGTTGTTGTCATTGTGGTTGTTGTTGTTGTTGATGGTGGTGATGCTGTTTACACCAGAATGTACATCAGCTTGGCATTGACCATAATGATTATTAAATAAAATATGAGTTATGCAATCATGTTTTGTTGGTCTTTGTGTTTAGCTGAAGAGAAGAGAAGACGAGAATTCTATGAGTCCAGAGGGATGGCAGTAGTGAAACCTTCTCAGGGTAATAAAACTTGACCAAATGTGTACATTGCATAATATTATTTTTTCTTATCACTTGTTGTGCTAGTGCGATTTCATGCATTGCAAGGCTGACAATAGTTTTCTTTTCTAGCTACAAATATACAACTTACACTAGAATATAAACTTCATTGACTGTGATATTCATACAATTAAATTTTAATTAGTTAATAACATTAATGAAATATTAATACAATTAAAGCCCCATACACCCACCATGATAAAGTTTAGAAGGAATATTTTCTACTTGTGATCGTTTGATTGCATTTCCATCCCTTGTAGCATTGGGTTTCATCTTTGAAAAATAAATTTACCGGGATATTAGACTTTATTGTCTGCAGTAGCCATACATTTTGAATCAACGAAAGGAGTTCTTCTTAAGTTAACTAATAGTTGCCCCCATTTTTCTTTTCAGATGAAAATGAGAATGAAAAACCAACAACAGAGAATGTGGTTAAAAGAGACTACTCTGAAAATAGGAACTTGTACAGAGATGACGAACAAGTTTCTCTGTGTGTTGAGAGATATGAGGAGAGGTTAGTACAATTCTGCAAGCATAGAACTGCAGAATAGTACTGCACATATAAATGGCAGGGTTATGAAGAGCTTATCATTAGTTCAGTGGAATCTGGATCAAGTAGGTCAGGTTGTAGTCTTTGCAGAGTCTTTAGCAAGACCCTTTCCCTTTGCAGTGCCTCTATGTACCTATGTGTGTAAATAAGTAGTGGCGTGAACTAGTGGTAACCTAACATAATGCTAACAGGTCAGCTGCAGTGCTGAGAGTAGCCTCCCATCCAGTGGGAGTAGTAATCCTTGTGTTTGTTCCACACTAGAGAAACCAGAGTTCAGTGTTGTCACCAATAACCTGTCTGTTCTCTCCTTTACTCCGAGTGAATAATTGTGTACCATAAAATGTTACATTGCAAACTTTTAAAGTGTATATGACATAGAGGATATTACATGCCCGTGCGTGGATACGATGTAATATTCTGTTTATTATGTAAACATACCAATGACGACGTTTTTGACGATTTTCCGACGATTTCCAACCACTTTCCAAAGATTTCCGAAGATTTTCCAAAATTGTTCTGAAGGCCAGACGAACGCCTCCGAACATTTTGTGAAGATTGCCGAACACGACCGAAGAAGATCCGCAGATGTTTCGATCATACATCAACAAATTTAAGTGTAGTTAAAGGGACAAAAGAAAAATGTTATCAAAAAGGAATGATATCTTCACAGTGTGAAAGATAATAATAGTATCTTCACTGCGTACGATGAAGATATGATTTTTTAGTAAAAAAAAAAATCCTGGTATTTCATTGGTGTTTATATAATAAACATTTTTTTTTACCCGGTGTTTGTTTCTTTGCAATAAACATGCAATAAACGAAATCTGGTTTAGATATGACGAAAAAAAAAATTTCGTTACTTTCTGCCACCTGAAGTTCACCCATTTTCGTTGTATATAAGACAGCGCGAGTAATGAAACAGTAACCTTGGCTCTTACATGCCATCAGCTATTAATATGAACATTCTTTTTTTCCCATTTGTTTTAACAGCGTGGAAGAAAACGGAGATGAGACAGAAGACAGCAGAACAACAGAAACCGTGGGGGTAGGTTTCTAAGATATAACCCTGCTTTTTACTGTCATCTCAAAAGAAGAACAAAATTATGGTGGAGAACTTTCTTCTGTGTTTGTGCGTTTTTTGCAGACACTGAGTAAGAAATACTTGCGTTGTTCAGCTCGGATGATGGTTGTTCAACTTCAAAAGCTATTGAGAATGAAACTCAACATCCCAGAGGAGAAAGAGGTGTGTTAACCATACTTCTCTTATGTTAAAGCTACGTTTTCTTTGTGCCAGGTATAATCATTCTCTACGCTTACTTCACGTAAAATAGCACCCTAAGTTTCTGCGCTGAGTTAGTGACTGACCTGCATCTAAATGATCTAACCATTAGGAAACTTTGGACAGAAATAGCTTTAGAACAATTTTATAGGTTGATTCGTGGGAAAGTAGGAGCATTTGCTAATTGCTAGAGCAAACCAGTGTACGTGTATATGGATGGGAACCGATATCAGCCATCATCAGTGCAGCTGAAAACTAAATAAATGAAATGTTCGATGTTGTATTGATTATGTATTCGGTGTTATTGCATACGTTTTAACTCTTGTTACGTTCGCATGCTACAGGTTGAAATTGTGTGTAATGAACACGTGATACACCCATTCAGAACCATGAAGTTCATTTGGATAAGTGAGTGGTTAAACCGGGTAAGTCTGAAATATTTGTTGTCCTATTTTTGGGAGTTTGCGAACGCGCAAGTGCCTTTCTATCAGAGCTCAGGGAAGTACACGAAATTGGAAATTATAGTGAAAGAATGAAATGTAATGTCAAAATTTTATACTGGTCAACATCTTTCGTGAAGAAGCCGGACGAAGCTAGAAAGTGTGGATAGAAAGTGAGCAATCAGTGAGCAGACATGTGATAGTCCTCTGAATCGTTGTTATACCGTAAACTAGTGAAGATGAGGGCCAATTTTCCTTGGTGAAAGTTACTGTTATTATGATTGACGATTTTTTACGCATCCCGGATAGCGTTAAATTGTCTCGAAACCAAGACGAATGGTGTGGGAGCACGATGAGGGATGAGAAAGGGGCAGGCCATCCTCAACACGAACCTGACCCAGCTTCATTGTCCTTCATAACACAGAGTTTATTGTTTTTGCTCCCTCAGGCACCGCCCATGGTTTTACATTATCGTGTTCACGGTGCCTCTTGAAGAACTGTTACTCGACAACACATCGTTAGGCGTCACAATGGACAGGGCTCCTCAAAGAACACAGAAGACGGAAAACTGTAACTTTGTGACCAACCTCGATCCAGGAGAGAGAGGTTGCTTTGTGGCATACACAAGTTTCATTCGTTATAACAATGTGCTTACACATTAGATAAAACTTTACGTTTTCCAAAACGTGTTGTCCTTTTAACGACCAGTGCCAGTCAGGCTTTGATGGGAACACAAGCAGGACACGTCATGCTGCCCACATCTAGTTACATCTTGGATAACACTATATCTTGTTAGTCAGCTCTGGAAGACTGAATTACAACTGGAAAAGCTTCCTGGCTTATATGTTATACGCCTATCACACCAAAACCTTATTCAACTGGTGTAAAATTAAAGCCTTGTTGCTTTCTGCCCCTGATATTCATTCATTTAACTTACTTTTACCAGTTTAAGCTGTCACCAGGATATTTGTCGATAAATAAGTACTCGAACTGTTTGTTCTTGGGCCGAGTCAAAGTTTGATGAGCTGGATTCAATCCGGTGTTATTGCATTTAAAGTCCCGAGTTAATTTGGGGAAAGTTCGAAAGCTATCTTTTACCACAGTGTTCGGAAAAACTACTTTCATTGATAATACGTTACCTGTTATTATGTACACATTGCATGTATATTTTAGTGTTTTACCCACAAAAGTAGAAGAAGGATTTATGTCCTTATACAGTGTTGACCTAATCGAAAAAATAAAGTTTATGATGTCCTCTTTACGTAGTTTACGCCACTTACATATAAAGATTTGTTAGGAGATGACCTCATGGTTAGTGCGCTCGACTCCGGATCGAGCGGTCCGGGCTCGAGCCCTTGCCGAGGACATTGTTGTTTTCTTGGGCAAGACACCCGGGCAAGCTACTTTACTCTCACTGTACCTCTCTCCACCCAGGTGTACAAATGGGTACAAGCGAATTTAATGCTATTTGGTAACCTTGCGATGGGCTAGCATCCCATCCAAGAAGGAGGAAAAATACACCTGGTCGCTTCATGCTACAGAAACCGGAGAAAAGCGCCGGCTATGATGGGCTACTTAGCTCGTGTGCAGATTTTACCTTTACCAGCTCGCCAAAAGTGAGACTTTGAGGGAAAAGACATATTCATGAAGTTAGTAGAACAGCCTGGAAATTGAAGAGAAAGTTCCCCTTTTATCTCCTCCCCGTTCTCAGCCTCTACGTGATCTGCCGGCGGAAGGACCCAGGAAAGGCAAGCAGTTTTGAGGGCTCGTATTTTGAGAATCAGGGATTAACATCCGATTATAGCAGAAGGCTAATAAGTGGATTATTTCCCGCTCTGAAATTCCTTTTACGTGGGTGGTATGAAAATTATGTTTTGGATCGGTTGAGTTTAAGGAAATGTGATTTCTCGACTGTCGTCGGACACTATAATGCGGAGTAAATTTGGCGCGCACGAATAAAATTTGCGCCGACATCATCTTCTGGCTAACTCATAAGTCCTTACGTGTGGGAGCTTAGCAGTCATATCAGTAGTTATCATGACCTATGAACCGTTAAGATATTACAGGGTAAATTTGCCGTCGTTGTCGCGTTGCATTCGGTGTTGGTGCAAGCTCGAAAACTGATCACTTTGAAAGTCATATGCCGGGTATATGCACAAAGAACCCGCAGCACGTAATTGAAAGGCACAGTTTCATCATATTTGCTTTAACTGAATTTCTAGGACGAACTACCCCCAAGGTTAAGGAAGTAGTTGAACAGAACACATATAGCCCACAAGCCGGTGGGTATTTTCTCTGCGGGTTTCCCCTGACGGGGCATCGAAACTCGCCTCCATTTTCTTAACTACAGTAGAATCCCGATTTTTCGAACCTCCAAGGGAAACGAAACTTGGTTCGAAAGATCGGATAGTTGAAGAAACCGAGGGTAAAATTACAGCGTTTGACTGACGAGGGGAAACGACGTTTGGTTCGAGTTGTCGGGAGGTTCTAAAAACTGAGGACTCGAGAATAGGGAAGACCACACGAGAGCCAACCTCGTTCCCAGGACTTCCCAGTGACGAGATTCAGGGAACCCGCTACAGATTGGATCACAAGAGCAGGGCAGTGGAATATTATTAAAAATTTTGAAAATATAATGTTTGATATCAGTTATCGACTGATACAATGCGCAAGAATGCATGTCTTGTGTACTGTACAATAAATATTTCCATCTCTTAAAAAACAGTTATACCTGTTAATAGAACGCAAATAGCAGCGCTTTTACACGCAACGCGCGTAATTATCGAAACGCGTGGATGAATGGCATATGATGTGTAATTATACACAATTATGACCAAGTCACGATCAAAATTTTTAAAATCGTCCTCACTGGAAAACTCCAGAAATGAAACCGAACTATACATTTTCGTACTTAGACGAAGGAATTGATTCATTTTGTATTTTCCCGATGACATATTCTGTCGAAAGAAACAGCGTCGCGTTGGCTCTCGTGGTTGACGGCTGCTGTGCTCGTTTGAATCTTTTTTTTCTTTTCACAGCAGCATTGTTTGCAGCTGGTAGCAATTCGGAGCTGTCTCGGCAGATGCGTGGAAGAGAGGCTGGTGCTTGGAAGAGAGGCTGATTCACGCTCTAAGCTTCCTGGTTATTGAGGTAGCCAAGCTAAAATAACTTGAGACTTGGTCTGTAATGGAGTAAAAGCGGACATCCCTTCAAAGAAAACAAGAAAAAATCGCTAAGTTCAGTTTGTGCACATTTAAGTTATGCCACGTAAGTGATTTTAGCAAATGAACATTTCATTCTCCAAATCAATGCACAATGCCCGGATGAGCCGGAAATTTTGTATTTTATCAACCAGACTACTTGACAAAATATTGATGTTAAAAGAATCCTCAGAGAATAAACTCCTCATCAGTACAAGCTAGTATTACAAATCACAGCCAAGAGAACTCGGTTGACTGACATTTCAGTCACGTTAACATCCTCGAAGACCCAGGGGCAGTTAGTTGGGACCCGGCAAAATTGAAGCGACGATAGTTTTCAAGAACGGGTGAACTTTCGTCGCTTGGCTTCTTTTGCTGGGTCCCAGCCAACCGCCCAAGATCTCCGAAGATGTCAGGATAATAGAATGGGTTTAATATGCAATGGAAACAGAAGACTGTCCGCTTGTATGAAGATTTTAGACTAAGTTCGATGAAAGTGTTACTACAGTGTGCAGGTGTAGTATCTGACCCGAGGTGTAAAATTTGCGAACCTGCCGTAAAACTAATACCAACCTAACCACAGAGTCAAACATTTGGTAACAGGAATAGAACACTTTACTCTGCGCCTGCCTGGCTAGGCTTGCATTTTCCAATAAGATTCACTCAAGCCGCGAGGAGTCTGGCGAGAGACACCTTCCCTCATCTCCTCGCGGGTCGGGTAAAAACCTTTGCCCGCGTGTATGAAGCCTCACGAAGGCTTCTTTACACTACACTGTTCACGTCACCACATTATTTCATACCTTAAATCTCCATCGTGTGACACAGATAAACTTAAGCGTGTGATCCTTGCCAAGAATTTCATCATTGCAAAGAATATCCACCTGGAAATACAAACCAACTCCGGTTAAAAACTGTGTTCCGCGAGATGAAACGGGTAAAGAATGCGGCGACCACGGGTACAAGAATTTTGTCGGCGTATCTTTTTTTCAGTTGAAACTCAAAAAAAAAACATTAATCTTATCAGACATTTTGGTATGTACATATGGTTAAGATTGCTATTCACATTTACCGAGAAGCCGTGCCTACTCGGTATCCTAATATCCAGCAATATCAAGTCACTGACCTTATGTGGCTGCGACATCATGGCCAATTTCAAGTTAAGTAATTTTTCCGTGAGTCAAATTGAAAAGAAATTTTTAAAAATAGCACTAGCCCGAAATGAAATATTGAGCGTTTGTTTTTTTTTTAAAGATGTCAAAACTATCCCGCCAAAACTTAACTCCTCGCGCGCTCCACATAACTGGAACGCCTGACAAATTACCGTAATTAGCAAAACATCTTTTGGTCAAATTTGGATACAATACGGCAGATATTTAATCGAACCTTTTTTGGTACGCTTGGGCGGTATGTCAGGCTTATTTGGTCTCGCCATTGGTATTTTGGCTTGAATACGCCTCGCCAAAATACGAACCATGGGTCGACCAAACTCGACTAAATGTCGCTAATTTAGGTGCGATTGGGTAAAAATAGTAGCCGTGCACTATTTTGGCGAGCATGTACATGTCTATAGATTAAGTCAAACGCACAAGAAATTCGGCGTATATCTTAACACCAAGCAGCAATGATAACCCTGACAACGCCTACAGGACACAACTAAGATTTACCAACAAAAACAGAAGTTGACTTCGATCAATCGTCATAACACAACCACTTTAAATTCTTGCAATTTAACCCGACCTTCACTATACTAAATACGGTTGTAGTTAAAGTACCTCATTCGACAGATTCTACAAGATATGATAGTCACTCACGTCCTTATGGTCTTGAAGACTCAGCTTCTTAGCGAGGAACTTTTTGAGGTGTAACACAGTCGCTTGGGATGATAAACGTAGATACTTTCGGGTTAACGGCTGCAAAAACAAGGGAAATGCGTTTACAGATAAATAATTACTCGCGCTACAGGTATGTTAGCCTGCGAACGCAGACGTATTTCCGGCTGTCACTTGGTTGCGCCGAAAAATAACGTCTGCGTACCCGAGCCAGGAAACGATTTCTGTGACGTAATGACTTTTGTTTCTCCTTGGCTTATCAGATTCCATAATAGAATGAAACTCGAGTGCTCCTCGCAGCGAATACCTCGCGCAGTAGTTCTGGGGTTATTTGAGCTAAACTGTGATTGGCTTAGAATTCCTACGTCACAGAAATCGTTTTCTGGCTCGGGTTCGCAGACGTTAATTTTCGGCGGAACCAAGTGACAGCCGGAAATACGTCTGCGTTCGCAGGCTACAGGTATGTAGGCTTCCTGTATAAACCCGTCTACAGTTACGTTGTAGAAATTGAAAAGGAGCCGACCTCCCTCGAAAACCCATTAAAATCACGGCCATCCCGTGACTTCTTTCGCATTCTTCTGGCTTACGAGCAGGCTCAAGTTTGGGGAGCAAAAGCGCGAGCAACGAAGCCTCGAGAAAAGTGCTCCCCGCCTGATCGCCTAGCTCGACGCCTGGCTCTTCGCCCGCGCGTGTGACTAATTGAACAGCCTGCTCGCAAGATACCATCCTTGTGTCTTAGCTAATAAGGGAGTTTAGATTTGAGTGCGAGCACGAGATTAACTACGGGAACGACTTTTCAATTCTAGTTTGCAGGCTCCACATTATCACGTCACATACCATTTAATGAGCTACCCTCTCTTCCTAAACCAACATGAAGAGCGAGGGCTCTGGAAACGTCACCGGTTTGAACATCGAAAATCGTACTCGTACTCAATCTCGTGGTCGTAGACTAATCTAAAGACGGAGTGACCATTGCAACGAGTCCGCGCGCGCACGAGTTCAGCATCGTTATGTTTCGTCTACAGATGGACTGGGAAAGGTTGAAACATTGCGCGCAACCGACTCTTCCCAAGTCAGAGTCTAAGACCCACTCTCGCCTTGTCGTTCTAATTATTTATTCGATCATTCAACTTTACTGTTACTGAGGGTCTATACTTATTTCGAATAATTAAGACTTGCAAACATAAAGGATAACTATGAAACTAAAATACCTTAAGTGAATATTTCCCGTTTGCTCTGTGGAGAAAAGCAGAAAATTACGTGTCATTGCCTTTTTGCTTTGGGAATATCAGTGTTAAGTGTGCTAAGTGTTTGTAATCGTATGACACGCCGTTTCCACCAGCCTCCTTCTGTCTTGAGCATGCAACACACAAGGAGAGTGAATTAAAAGACAGGAAAATAGAGGAAAGAGGTGCTTGCCAACCTTTGATCTTGTCACATAGAAATCAAAAGGCCGTATTTCAACCTCAAACATGCTTAGCCTGGACTAGTAGAAGGTCGTGCTGTAGAGCTCGTTTTGTGTTTTATTAAAGTTGTTTCCAACGCTTTTGATTATCATTCCTCAGTTAGCCACTCTTATCCAAATGCAACAAACCCAAAAAGCCAAAAGCCCACGCCTTAATTTCAACATTTGAGGACAATCCTTGGTAATTCGTCCATATTAATTACAATTTTAAAGTACATTTTAAGGGTTACAAAACACATTTCTACCTGTAACATTCCATACATATGGCGACTTGTTCATCACCTCGGTGATAATCTTGAACTTCTTCTTTCTCGTTTGATGTACATGAAGACGACGGAGACGGATTATCAGCTATCAAAAATAATATTAAACAATGACGATTTATTAAGTACGAATTTAATTCTCCGGTCTATCGAAAAGTAAAATTCTAGTCAAGCAACAGAAACATCTTTCAGCTCTCCTTTGCTCGTTGTAATTCTTAGAGAAACAGTACGAAAAATAAAGGGTTTTTTGAGGGATCATATCAACATTGAAGTAGGGAGGGAAGGGGAACAACGACACGTCCAAAAACAGCAGTTTCAGTTACGATTAAGGTTTTAAGCTTCTATGCATCTATGCAAGTAGAACTGAAACGACTGAAATCCGGTCGACATGTAGATAAAAGCACGCCAGAACTTTAACTTTCGTTTCTTTTTCCTAATGTTCAGAATGCAGGGAATGCAAACATCTTGAAAACATAAACACCATTATCACAATTACACCGTTAACATAGACCAACTAACCATGTGTTTTTATTGAGTTCATGGCGTTGTAAGCATTCTGTTGTTCCCCCGTGCGATACATAAACATGGCTACTTCAAATTCTTTTTGTCTCTGAAGCTCCCCTACAGGAAAAAATTATAACAGAAGTCAGCAAAGAGATGCTTGTTTCACTAAATGACAGTGAAGCATTAGCTGCTTACGTAGCCAGTGAACAGGTTCTCTAGTCGAGGATGGGGCAAAGAGAAAGAGGGGAAGAAAGAGGACAAAAGAGAGAGAAGGGGAGGCGACCCTTCCAGCCGGAGCCTGCTCACAGGATACTGTTCACGAAATTCGAAAACAACTTAAACAGCCAGTCCTATTTATATTGACCATTTTTGTTACACACGATGTTATTGAAACAAATTGCTGAGGTGAAAAACATTGGGTAAAGGTATATATGGCATGGGCTGAACGTTTCCCTACACCGATACATGCCGATACAGTCTAAGACGATACCGTGGAGGAAGCGTGCCCGAGTAGTTAGGGCGCCGACCTTGAAATCCACCGGTGGCGGGGTCAATTCCCGTTCCGACGGGCGTGTTTAAAACAAGAAATGGCAAAATGGTACTACGAGTAAGAGTCAATGTGGTATAAGGGCGTCTGTAAGGGTTACCGTTACAATATTGAGAGCTAACCACTGTCGAGACAGTGATATTTAGGCTAACCTCGTAGTTCCATTTCGCCATTTCGGGTTTTAAATGCGCCCCGTTCTGACCACTAGCTGGTGATGTCTTCAGTAGTCCGGCCCTCAGCCACGTTTGTAAATAGCTAGCTGGTCGGCCTCATACCAGTTGGGATATTTAACCATGTTATGTTCACTGATTTACATGATTTGTTTCATTGTTTGTTTCCATTGGCCATGAAAAACTCCACTGGGGAAATGGTCAGTTAAGGTATCTATTTATTTATTATTTATTGGTATCAGCAACATGTTCATGATATGAATGGACTCCTTGAGAATCTTCAACAGGCAGGTCGCTGGGCTTCAGTTTGTGGGGGAAAAGGAAAACTGGGACAAGAACAGCCTAGTGTTGTTTGCTTTTGCGTTTAGATTAAAAAGGTCTATAGACCAGGGGCACTGAAAATCTCTTCTTGTTGGTAGCTAACCAGAAGGACCAGACGACAAATACTACCCCGTGAAATAGTTATCAAGATGCACTTCGATTACAAGGGACCACTATCACGACCATATTGCTGCAATTTTTTTGTAAAACGGTGGTAAGTTATGACTAGTTCATTCCCGAAATGTGCCCAGAGAACCAAGATAAAGATATCGAGTGTATTACACTGTATTGAAAGTTAAGCAAATTATAATTAGCTTTAAGAGAGTTTTCTGAGACACAACAACAGAATTTGAAAAAGGCTGCTCAACTTTTCAATTTTAGATCAAAACGTTGTGCGTATGTAACTCATGACATGGTAACTCCTTTTCATGGCTTCAGTGCACTAGTTTAGTAACGCTTCGTTTCTATCGATGTAAAATATAATGGTAGCTGGAATTTGTCAGGCCAAGTGACGCTTTATTTTAAGACTTTTTGTGGAACAGAAACGATGTAATTACAAATCTTTTCTTTGTGATTAAAGATACCTGTCGATCTTTGTGATGTTCTCTATCGAGTCATGTAATCCGATCATTTTGTTCCTCTTCGATGTGACTGACATTCGACGAAGAAATAGATGACTTTCATAGTTTTCTTTAGTTATTTTATTTTCGATAGGAAATTTGAACAGGTATTTTGCTGTTATTTTGGTAACTTAAGTATCTGTAGATTAAAATCTAAATCTCAAGGATAATCCCTAAAATAAATTCTACTTAGTCACTCGCTAGAAACAAGTGCCATACCAAGCGATCCACAAATTCAAGGCGCAGAATTTCTAACAGCGAGAGTGGTGAATACAAATTGAGGTACGGTAGCCAGTTCGATTTGTAAATTACGTAATCACACCATGTTCTTTTTAGAGCTGTTTTGTGTCAGAATTATCACATCATCACTTCAAGAGCACGTGTAAATGGAATTATAAAACGTCTGGAAAAACGGAAGGCCCACAAGAAAAGATCTTAAAAACCGCAACCACGTGAGGACGATTTATATTGCTTTTTCGAAAACAATTGAAGTTTGCTCATCAATCATAATTCAAAGTTGTGGTTACTTGTTTTGAAATGCATGACTACGGGCTAAAAGACAAGCGACACAGAAACAGACTTTCGTTGTGAAATAATCTTTCATTAATCAACGGCAGCGGTTTGATAACGACTTTTGCCCGGGGCAATAATCAAAATATTTACTTTTCTAAAGGTAAATTCTGGAACTGAAGCCACTCGAGTCTTAATCATCACAAAAAGCTGCCTTTTCCCTTGACTGAAGTTGTAAACTAACCCTTGAAGTTTAAATAGTGCTGGTGTAGAATAGAAATTGCGTCGTCATTGCTTGGTTAAAGGTCGTGGAATGATCTGAGTGGTGTGTCGTGGAGCAAGGAGTCATTTGAAAACAATAACAACTCTATTTAGAAATGAAGTGTTTCTAGAGTAACATTCCTAGTTCAAGTATGTATAGTGAAAGTCAAGCAAATGCATTGAAAGAAAACTGAAAGATATTGCTTTCGAAGGAACTACCATTAATTTCTATTTCTCTTGGCTGTAGTACATGTGCAATATAAAAGGAAAACACTTTTGGTAACAGGGTGTCTTAAAACTGAACATCTTCAGTTTTAAAGTGCCTCCAATTTTCTCACGCATTTTCTCTCAACTCTTTCATCGGCTCATACAGATATATACAAATATGTCGCTGGAACCACATATATGGACACTTACGCTCTTGAAGGTCCGGCACAAGCTTGTATACAATTTCCTGCATAGTGCGATCAGGGCTGCAAGACAATATCAAGCCATGTTATCAACTAGCATCAGCAAAATGGAAGACGGATCTCTCAGAAAGAATCCTCAAGTATAAACATGAAAAATTCTTTGGCTGAGAATATTGTTACTTGAGTAATTCACAAAATTCAATTTTTAATTACACGCCCTTTTGTTACAAGAGAGCTTTTAATATTTCGTACCACTAGCTTTCTTTTGGCTTCAATATGACAACAAGTGAGCCGGAACTTCAAAGGCACAACTTTTAACTCCATGTTAGATAAAAAAAAAGTTGAGGCTAATATTTCAGTACTAGCTTATTCGTTCATCGTCTATCAAGGCCGATTTAAACTGAAGGATATATGCAAAATTAACCTCGTAGACAAATTAAATATTTTACTGTGAAATGCAAAACATGCTAATTCTGAGAGACGGGCAAGTTGTTTAATTTCAGTGTCAAAGGGGTAAATTTAAACTGAGTTATCAGTAAACGTACAGTGGTTAGCTCAAGCGTGACACTTGTGTAATGGTTGCAAAGTATTTTTCGAAACTCATTATTCTTGTGCTAGAAAGAGGGGAATACGATCGAGTAAGTGCAGAGTTGAAAATGTCCCTAATACGGAGGCACGGTGAAGAGTAAACGAGGTACAAGAAGGCAATTTCATTAATAGGCCATCAGAGACAATTTCCATACCAAATTACTTTCAAATTCATTTGCAATTACCGAATAACAAAACAGCTAGATCACGAAAATAAATAACAGCCTGGTTCAAGGTTTCATATACCAGACACGTCAACTTGAATAGTGCTTCTACTGTAAGCTACCCAGGTAAACGTGACGAATATACGGACAAAGATAATATCGTTGAAGAGCTTGAGTGAGACCAGAGCAGCTCAAGAAAGCCCTATTTCTGTTTCCACTATGGATGTGGCATGTCATTGTAAATGGATTGATCCCACTCCATGTGTAGAGTCACGATCTGCTTTTATTATTCTCGGGGTTTTTAGCACAATATACAATCTTCCTTACCTAATGTAGTTCATGGGGTAGCTTTGATGGATCACAATTTTGCACGTTGGACAAAAGTTGTCTTCTTGTAAATGTTTCACGATGCAGCTTCTACAAACTGAGGACGAAAGCAAAACATGCCCAATAAACACAACTTCACCAACACATAAATAAAACAGCTTTACGAGCTGTTTTTCAACTGATATCGGTCAACTACAAGCTTGTCGCTGCCGTCCCAAGGGTGTGTTTTTTAAGTCCCTCGTCAAAGTGGTCGCGGTAAACACGATTTCAATAAAGAGGTGTTGTTTATCTTACCGCATCCTGAGCATACAAGATGAAGCTTTAGACAACCATTGTGCCCTGTGGAATATCTACTATATGGCACAACTAGCAAATGCTTAAATTCTGGAGAAGGTATCTTATAGCCTTGCCAACGCCTCGCTGGGAGACACGTACTTGGCATCGAACTCGAATAAGACTAAAAAATTTATATTACTTGGCCCCAATAACGCAAATTAGAATGCCTACAAGTATCTGCTCTGAAGACAGCACACCGGCTGACGCGTGATTCACGCCATTTGAGCTGGAAGGTTCTTAAGGCAGCTGTGAACGCCGCCGTGCGTAGAATCAGGCACGGGCACAGTCCTTTAGTACAATGCTAGTCAGTCGTGAACGTGAAGGAGAGATAGCTTGGCACACGAGCAAGGAGATTTTCTACCGCCGCTACGATTTTACAATAAATTAAATAAGAGAAATGCTAAATTCACTGTCCAAACGAAGAAAAGTGAAATAATAGTCCCCGCATAATAGAAATCTTTCGAGCGCAGCCGTTGAGAAATGCGAGGCTGTGATATACGAGCTCAAGTCTCCGTTGGATCGCTGTCGTAAGAGCGCAGCGACTATTTTACCGGTCATTCGTGAAGCAAACTTTTCCTCGCTATATTTGAAGGTGGATATATTAACTTCAAAGGCTTTTGCGTAGAGATCAAAAGCATTTAAACCCTAAACATGACTTTACAAGCTTTACAACGGATCACGACCGATCTTTTCCCTTAAACTCTCCGCCTCGATTCCCAAAATTGTAACATCCAATTGAAGTTTAAACAATAAGAATGGAGTAAACATAAAAGCCGAGAGACAAGGTCCGATTTGACCTCGGGGAAAGAGCAGGAAAATCACAAACTTGAAAATATACTCACACGTGTGCAGACACTCCGTGATGGTTGTAGCGTCGATTAGATACCCATTGCAAATGCCGCAAATAATGAAAGGATTGAGCTCTCTTAACTTGACTGTTTGGTACATCTCGCAGGCTGAGGTCGGCAGAAGATGTGAACTCTTTGGGCTCCCTAAATCCTACAGTGGTAATAGACTCGACCGGTTATGCGAAACCACGCACGAAGCCCAACAGAACTTTACGCTCTATGCTTGATTTCGGCTAGATAATAGTGTTAATGAAGAGTGATGTGGCAAATTTCTGTCAACACTTCGACTTCAGTCAAGATTCTTCAAAACCTCTCCGGCGAGAGCCTCAAAACAAAGGCCAGAGAGTCGACGAACGTGCCTTGCCTTTCGACACAAGAGTTTCGTCTGGATCAATCAGACCACACGTACAAACAGAGCAAAGAGCCTCAGGGCAGATTTGTTGTGAGCGGTGGGCGGTCAACATAAAAATTATCCGATCATCAACAATATTCCCGAACAAAGAGGGCAGGCTAGTCTCTTGGGACCTTCTCTTCACGTTGATCACTTGAAGCGAAAGAGCGACTTTTACCACGTTCCCTTCATTTGCGCGTGGAAGGGCAAAAAAGTTCGCGCCAACACACGATCGGTTAATTTCCTCCGCTCTTCCTGTCGGAATCAGTTTTCGTTCCTAGTGTAAAGAGAACGAAGGAAGCTGAGAGACGCTTGTGGTCTCTTATCTGTAAGCCAAGAATCCAAGGCCTCTCAATAATGAACCAGTTTTCAATAGAAGACAAACAATGATAATATCTTTAGTACAGCCGAATACGAATAGCGCTTTTGCCGGTGGCTGAACGTGTAATAAAACGTTCTTGAATACGTCTATTTACCACGTTTCACGTTTAGACGCCATCGGTTAGAGTGTTTTTTTATGAGGTACAAGAGAATGTTCCTAGATACCGGAAATGGAGAATAGATGGCCTGTCAAAATAACTACAATTGGCATGCATCAAATATCACAGAGATTCAAAGGATCCTAACACGACAGCACAAAATGCACGTGTAAACCGCCGCTAAACAAGAAACTTCTCGGCAAACTAAGCTAATCTCCCGTGTCCAAACATACAAGCACGGAATGAAAAGCTCTGTGGATTACTAAGGGTAAATAATAAAGCTCTCAATCGTTAGGTAAGGCCGGACCAAACTTTTTTTTTTTTTATCGATTTTACAGTCTGGCGGTGATCTTATCTTCAGCGACTATGGAATGCAAACTGAATGAAGGGACAGAATTAAATGTCTTCCGGTCAACAAGTACCTTGTAAATGTGTCCATTTCTTGCTAAATTTAAATGCCTTATCCCTTAAAATAACTCCCTCAATTTTGGATCTTGAGAGCTATTGAAGACCAGAACCATTTAATTTCTTCTTGCTGTATAAGCCAGCTGACCTCTTGAAGAGCCATTGTAAAAAAATGTGGAGAGATTGAAACACTTTAAAAACTAACGCGTTTCCGCTTTTTCGAGTGATTCAGTTATCCTAAGTCCTTCACTCAATAACGACGAAGTATTTAATGTTGCGAAGCGTTTTTACACTGAACTGTCCGAGCTAATATACTTCACCAAACATTGCGCCATCTTCTTAGTTTATACGGACCACAGTTTGACTGGCAGTCCGACAGGTTATTAGATCTGTAAGAAAATTATATTTACAAGTTGGCTCTGAGGCGTCAAATAATTAAGATTCGCGAGGGATTTATTCATTAGTGGCACTTCTGGTCTGCATATGGCTAATTTTTAAGTGCCATTTTCCCTTCAAGTTGGCATGTAATACCGGAATGCAGAGGTCACTAATGAACCTTCAGCAGACTGGTTTTCAAGAAGTTTTAAACACAGATAACTACATCAGTATGGTGTTTTACTTAGCAGTACATCAATCTGACCTGCTGGAATTTTCTGTCTCATCAAAGACAATCAGTTCCTCGAAACAGGGCTTCAAATATTCTGCTAATACTAACAAGATGAACTCGATCAGGATACGGCTGGGATATTATGTACCATCACCCGGAGTGCAGACAGTGTTATTAAATATAGCAATAATAAAAAGAGTGACAAATGGCACAATAAAACCAATTGCTTCTAGCAGATAATCTTAAAATGGTACTCTACTGGCAATAGACTGCGCTGTCAGTATATCTGAGTCAGTATCAAACCGAAAAAAGTTAACTGTTAACATTTTGCGGTTTGGCAAGAATGGCTTTTTCCTTGCATATACTATAGTATTTTAGTTTGGATCTGTTACACGAATCAATATTGCTACTGTCATAGTTATTTGCAAGTGAATTGTACAAATACTATTCACTGAAATAAAAGGAAAAACAAGCAATGGTCCAGAAGCCGAAATCATTCACGTCTTGCACCGTACTGCTCCCAAATGAAACTGACTTTTACGAGCACAATTGAAGACTGGTTATATTCTATTGTACAGAGTCAACTGACCTGCACCCGGACTCACGGCTATCGGTCTTAAGATATATCAGTGGTTGGCATGGTGATCACTCAGTATTCCTTAATGAGTTCTAAACAAATAGGTTTAGCCGCAAGCCACAGGAGTATTGAGGCCGGCTATCTTTAGTGGATCAGTCCAGATGGTTTTAGGTTGATATTTACTGAGTTTTCTCCCAAAATTAGTAGGTCACATATGCCGGCTAAACAGGTCTGATCTAACACTGAATTAGAAAGGCCAAGGCTTGTAGGACGAGAAATCGTCCATGGGAAAATTCATTTTACTTTGTTACAAATAGATAACTTTTTGGAACTGTTCTCAAATGACAACTGAAAATTGTGAAGCCTGAGTATAAACGACTACGAAACAACTGGCAACCGTGTGAGACCTTAATTATGAGAAGCCTCGTGGCTCACATCTCATGAGCCCGAACTCTTTGTGACAAGGGTGACGGTTTAAACTTTAGGCTAGAATTCAACCTTACTCTACCTTCAAACTGCAGAGCCAAGGACAATCGTCCACCCAGGAGAGTCAGGGTTAGTTACAGTGATAATAACAGGGGCGTAACGTCCATATACGCACGTATGCTCGTGCGTACAGCTGAAATCTGGAAAAAAAATTATTCCCTTGTAGCATTTGTCAAAGTTACCATAAAATAGGACCGATTTATAAATTTCGGATTATACTGGCCTGTGTGTTTGTTTTTCCAGTACCTTTTAATTAATCCATAAACGACAAGAAACGTTATTTGGCTTCCTAGACTTGTTAACTCTCTAGTTTTTTTAGGAAGCAAACACCCTTTTAGCTTTAATTCTATATTCCAGCGAAGCTCACTGAGCTAACAGAAAGAGCCGTTAATGATATCTACAGCTACTTCGGGAGTGACATGGA